TGGTTGGACTTGAAGATCTTAAAGGTCTTTTCAACCTTAATGATTCTCTGATTCCTGTGCTCTCTCCTGCACGTTCCTGTGCCTGGTTGGTACCCAATCCTTCACTCCTGGAGGCAGTGAGATGCCCTCACCTTGCATGACAGCACCCAGCTGCTCAACAACTTCAAAAGCAAGATTTACTGCTAACATGTCCTCTAAGAGACCACCTCAAGAGAAAGCTCTTGTGTATTCTGGAATTTAGAACGTGAAACAGGAAAACAAACCCCAAAGGGTGAAATCTGCAGATAATGCACTTTTCCAAGCTGCAGAGCTGCACGGCTGGGCCAGCTGCACCAACAGCTGGGGCACAACAGCTTGGACAGAGGGAGCAGGATGCTGAGGTGCTACAGAATGTCCAACCCGGTGTCATCTGCTGAAGTTTTACTGACCTGACACACACATTAGGCCTCCCTCATTTCTTCTTTCTAAGCTGGAGCTAAAATGAGACCAATAAATTGTTTCCCAGTACAACATGTAAGGGCCGAGGACAAGCCTAGTGTTGGCACAGCTGGCCCTGGTGCTCTCAGAAACCAGGAGGGAAGACTCCAGAGAGGCTTTTCTCCAGGGCCAGGCTCCTCCACTGACTCACAGCTTGCTTCCATTTGCTTTTTTCCTATCCAAACTCCGGATCCACTGATTATCTTTCTTGTTCTGGCTAAAAATAAGTCAAACATCTCCGTTTGCCTGCCTAAATAGCCCACTGCTGTAATCTCTCACCTTCTGAAATTACAGTTCAAAACTCCCTTTTAATTTGCCCCCCCTCCCATTCCCAGCTCTTCATCCCCTGGCAGCTTCCTGCCCTCTTCTTTCTAACTGAGCTCAGATTAATTAACCAGATTTTTCTAGATTACAATGCTAAAGCCCTTCTTTCTTCACAGATTAAAACCAAGAGAGGAACCTTTTCTTCTGGTTGGTGGTTACGAAAATAGTATTTTTGTATCTGCAAGGTGGATGATAGAAACTTTAATACCTATTTAATGAATTGTTTTTATGTTGGACTGAGTCATGATTAGGGTTTTTCTTTTGTGAGATTGTTTTTAATGGATGTGAAGGAGGACCAGGAGGCTGCCAGTGAAAGCAGATGTCAACTGCACCAGTCCCAGTGTATATGCTCAAAAAACCAACCAAAACCCACCAAAATGAGAGGCCTTGCTCCAGAGAGTACAGACTTGCAAAAGCAAGCTCATGAGCAAGTGAAATAATCTCAATCTCCATTTTACAGGTAAAAAGTGAAGAGCCCTGGTGTCAGATCCATCATCTGCTGCAGCCTCTCAGTGACCCCACATGGTGACAGGACTCAGGATTGGAAATGCACACCCATGAACTGGCTGCCTGCCCACAAAAAAATCCCAGTTGGCCCCTTCTCCTGGCTTTCACAAGGCTATTAAACCATTTCCCACTCATTGCTTACAGTACACTGAGAATTAGACACCCTGGCAGTGTCTGGAGGAGTATGACACATCCTGCAGTACCCTCATCCAGCATCCTCTGCGTGCTCTGCACTCACATGGAACCCAAAACCATCCCTTTCGGATTCAGCAGAAGCAGACAAAATTTCTCAGCAAAGCTTCACCTAGAAATCCCAAGCTCCCTCTGAATTCTGGAACTCAGGGAGAGATTAGAGTAAAAAAAATCTAAAAACTAAAGGATGTGTGTGGAGGACAGGCAGCTCTCCCCAAGAGCTCTTCTACAATCCAACCTCTGTCTCAGCATTTTGCAGCACCATTACTCCTTCTAGAACCCCCTGACTGGCACAAGTTGCTGAGTCAGGTGTTAATGCTCCAGGCTTGACTCACCCAGTGCTTTAATCAAGTAACTTGCTCTCTGGAACTCACAGAAAGCTCATTTAGAGAATAACACCCCAACAAATTTGTCATATACAGAGAGGGCTGGAAGCTTTCCTCCCACCTCTTAAACTGCTCCTTAATGAAATTCCCTTATTCCTCACACAGCTCCTCAGGGTTTGTGCTCCTGGCTCAGGGAGCTCCTCCTGCCCTTGCCCAGGGGTGTGGGGTGCACACAGCCACGCCAGCAGGTTCTCATTGCTCACACACTGCCAGACCCCTCAGAAAGGCTGGAAGAGGCAGAACATTCCTCCACACCACTCCTGGTGCCTTCTTTCTTACCAAGGCTCAAATTATTTCTGCTTTAGATGGAGAGCACCCCTAAAGCCACACTGTTGAGTCTCTCCATGAGGTATCTCCCAAGGAGGAGCTGCAGCAGCACTTTGTGTAGGATCTATATCATAAAGCCCTCCGAGGGTTCAACATGATGAACATCCAGAACTAACCACAACTCAGGTTGTGGCTGCCCCATCCCTGGAAGTGTCCAAGGCCAGGCTGGACAGGGCTTGGAGCAACCTGGGCTAGTGGGAGGTGTCCCTGCCCTTGGCAGGGGGTGGAACGAGATGAGCTTTAAGGTCCCTTCCAACCCAAACCAGTCTGGGATTCTGTGATTCTCTAATTCTAACCCAAGACAACGTGCATGTGAAATCATAGGAGAAGGTCTGCTGACTACAGAGTGCACTGACAGCAGCGTTTGCAAAAGAAAAACAGCCCATGGAGAAGTTGCAGATGGGAAGGAGAGAAGGGAGCCAGTGGAAAGGACAAACTGTAGCAGCTGGAAATACTTAAACCCACAGATTCTGGAAAGAAAAGGAAAAAATCTGTCTCCTCCCTAGGATCCAGCTTCCCATTCTTCAGTAGGATAAAAACAAAAACCTTTTAAAACTCTGCTGTAGGGAACAAAGAAGGAGTAAGAGCTGTTAATCCTCCCTGACCCTCGCTGCGCTTTCTCTCAGCTCATGTCTACACAACACTGGGATCATCTATCACTTTCCAAAAATACTGCTCATTTCCTGTATTTCTGTAATTCTATCCCCTGGCATCAAACACTGCCTTTTGTCTTTGTCTTCTCATCTCAGTTCGATGTACCAGGATAATTTCTTTCTATAACAAAGGCACATTTTATAACAAAGACCCCTCAACCTCTGAATTCAATTGCTATTGACTCTCAATCTCTGCTATAGCACAAGACTTGTTTGAAAAAGTGAGTCATTCAAATGATTTAGTCTTACACGTTTATGAAAACTATAAAATGCGGTGTAGGAAGAGTAATAAAACTGCACCCAGAGGTACAGAACAGTCAGTTTGCACCCCTTCTGCACCCTGCTACAGTGTCAGCTTGTATTTTGAGTTTTTAACAACTCCTGTGACCCCATTTTTGTGGGCTCAGTCTGCTTTACCCAGCACTTTCACACCTCTGCAGCCCTTGCTGTGGCACTGAAGTTGCTGCCAAGTTCCACTGGACTGCTCAGTGCCGAGAAGCAGATGCTCCATGACTCATGCAGTGCTTGCAGACACAAGTTATCCATAACAGCACCATAATTAACAATACCAAATGTCAGCTCTAAAATTCAAACATGCAGATGTTCGTGTCCATGGCCTATGACCACGCTAATTTAGGAGACAGTGTCTGATCCTGCAAGTGTTCTAGACCAGGTTGGACAGGGCTTGGAGCAACCTGGGATAGTGGAAGGTGTCCCTGCCCACAGCAGGGGGGTGGAATGAGATGAGCTTTAAGGTTCCTTCCAACCTAAACCATTCTGTGATTCTGTGATAAAAATATAAAGTGGAAGTAAGAGGTGCTGATTTTCATCTATCATATGAATGATTTTAGCAAATTTTGAGTGTCAGAAAGAGCCAGACATTCTGAACAGACAGCAAACTCTGGCCGTGAAAAAAGATAACGAATAAATAATGACTGTCTTAGCACTGCTAAGAGCTAAATCCCCCTTCCCCCCAAGCAAACAGTCCTAGTCCAGCTAAGAGGTATGGATTAAGCAAACTGGACTAAGCTGTGGCCCTTCCTAAATGGAGTTTTCGGTGCTCACAAGCAGAGGTTTTCCACTTCACTCGAAAGCTTTACCTGGCACTGAAATTCCGGAGGACTTAAATGCAAAACCCCAACGTTCAAGAGGAAACAAACCCGGACGTTTCGCTAGGTGACAAGGCCGGAGCTGCTGCAGAGGTCGCGTTTTCCAAGGGCGGGGGAACATTCCCGGAGTGGCTTCGGTTCCAGCGGCACCTGCGCAGGTACCGCCAGGGACCCAGCGCCACCTGCGGGGCGGGCCCGGCCACTGCATCCCGACACCATCCCGACACCATCCCGACACCATCCCGACACCATCCCGACATCATCCCGACATCATCCCGACACCATCATCCCGACACCATCCCGACACCATCATCCCGACACCATCATCCCGACACCATCATCCCGACACCATCATCCCGACACCATCATCCCGACACCATCCCGACACCATCCCGACATCCCGACACCATCCTGCCACTGCCCCGGGAACAACTGCCAGATGTGACAGAGCAAAAATCGCAGTCACAGAACGCGCGGAGTTGGAAGAGACTCACAAGGGTCATCGAGTCCAACTCCTGGCCCTGCACAGGACCATCCCCAGGATTGACACCCCCTGCCCCAGAGGATCATCCAAACCCTCCTGGAGCTCTGGCAGCCTTGGGGCTGTGCCCACTGCCCTGGAGAGCCTGTTCCAGGGATGGATGGGGCAGCCACAGCTTCTCTGGGCAACCTGTGTCAGGGCCTCCCCACCCACACAGGGAAGAATTTCTTCCCAGTATCCCACCTAACCCTGCCCTCTGGCAGTGGGAAGCCATTCCCCCTTGTCCTGTCCCTCCAGGCCCTTGTCCAAAGTCCCTCTCCAGCTCTCCTGGAGCCCCTTTAGGCCCTGGAAGGGGCTCTAAGGTCTCCCTGGAGCCTTCTCTTCTCCAGGTGAACACCCCCAGCTCTCCCAGCCTGTCTCCAGAGCACAGGGGCTCCAACCCTCCTGACAGAAAAGAAGAAAAAAAACCCAACGAAAATTAAGAAAAAAACCCCATAACAAAAACATCCCCCTGGACTTTAGCTGAACAAACAGGCAGAGTAAAGAAGTTCATGGAAAAGATTTATTGCTCAGAACTGTCTGTGTGTGTGTGAAGGACTAGCAGGAGGCTCCCCTGCTCAGTCCCCCAGCTCATCCCTCACCAGCACAGGGAAGCTCCTGCCCCCCTGGCAGAGCTGGGTGTGGATGGCACGGAAGAGCCGGGCAGAGCCCTCCGGGCACGGGCTGGGCTCCAGGACAGGCAGCAGCTCTGCCATCAGCACCTGGGCAGGACAAGGGGGACACGTCACCAGAGCCAGCACACATTGCCAGGACTCCTTGAAGCGAAGTGGCTGCATAACAAGTGAAATCTAATCAGAGCAGTATGACTAATAACGTGCTCATTGATTGACAGATACTTTCTTTTGTCATATTTAACAAAGGCAGAGTTGTTCATCCTCTGCTCATGAGCTACACTAGCAGCCACCGTGTTCCCAGAGCAGTGAGATAAGTGGAGACGCTGCTCCTCTGCCACAGGGAAGGCCCAGCACTGGGATGAGATCATACCCTGCAAGAAGTTAAAGCTGGTGTTGGCTCAGGAGCTCTGCAGCCACACAGTGAAGTGCTCACTCACCCAGCAGTAAGTTCAAGCACTCAGGACTGTTCCTGTCACCTCCCAGCTAATCCAGGACAGATGGGTGAGTGGCCAACTTCAGCCCAAACGGGCTACAGGGGCTGCTAGAGCTGCCAACATTCCCTGCCCTGGTCTTTGGTCCATTAAGCCTAGCTCAGGATCTCAGCCCACCTCAGCTCAGGTCCAACACCACCCTGGTGCAGCATCATCAGCTCTGGGACTAGGACTGTGAGAGACAACTCAAGCACAGGTCACTTCCAATCAAAGGACAGAAGCTGGCCTTTGGTGCCCCACTCTTGAATTAAAGCTCAGGCAGACCTCCTCTGGGATTTTCATACTGCTCCACATATGTCTGCACAAGGACAGGGAAGCAGGACACAGTTGGTAATCTTTGGGAAGTCTCTACAGACATGAAAGCTACCTAAGGGGAAAGCTGCACATGAAAGAATGCTGCCCTGCTTTACTTCCTAAGAGAGATATCCTCTTTTCCATCCATCTGCTCTGCTCCTGATGTGTAAGAAGAGGAAACAGACCTTCACCACCAAAGAGAGTCTAAGAGCTACCAGGAGTCTCTGTAGGAATACTTAGCATTCCTCCATGGAAAGGCAATGGACAGGCTTGGCCCAGAAATAGGTACATCCTTTCCCAGGGGATTTATCTTGTATCACATCCACTCATTTCACCTGTTCCAACAATTTCACTTATCTTCACCCTGCAGAGCTGCTTCAGACCCTCAGAGCTCATCTACCACAAAACACCTATTTGGATACATGTGCAGAGGAAACTGAGTCAGTCAACAGAGCAGCAGGAATGTGGCTTTGGTCACCACTTCATTTTGGGCAGATAAAGAACCCAAAACCTTCACAATCCATAATTCAGGACTATAATGCTGAAGTCCCATTTGAGGACAGGCAACAATCTATCTTCAGCCAGAGGGAGGAGTGCAGCCAGTTATTAATAACTCCTCTGTGGCTTAGAAAAAATTACTTTTCCAAAGCCTCTATCATTCAGGTCAACAGGGGATGTGATTTCACAGATCTTCTCTGCCCTTTGCTGCTGGTTGAGAAGAACAAGTGATCTCTGTGCAGCAAGCTCTCTGCTCGGGCTGCTGAAGAAGCTGACACCTCCTACCCTGCTCTCACAGGCTCAGAATGGTCAAATCAAGATGAGCAGCACAGTGGTTTGAGGTTTAAAAGGAAAGGAAGAGAGAGCAGAGGAGTTCACTAGCTGGAGGTCACACAGGAGAGAATGACACAGTGGGTGCCCTCGTGGGACTGTGAAGGGCTGACAAAAGGGGCCTTCAGGCATTACCAACATCCTCCACTGCCAAATTCTTTCAGAACAGCTAAATAAAACCTTATCAGGAGAGGGTCAGACACATAAAGGCCTCTGCTCTGGCTCTAACAAAAAACAGTCAGTTCCATTCACCTACAAAGACAGCAAGGCACTAAGGGGACTTGGACAAGAGGCATAAACACAGAAACACGACTGGGGAACCTTGCTGTGCTGCTGCTCCCCATCAACACCCCATCCAGCAGTTGGTGCCCCACAACTGCCCTTTCCTTTCCCTGCTCCAGGAGCATTAACACTTTCCCAGACTCACCTTTTGTAGGGCAATCTCTTGGTGCAGCATTGACACTTGCAGCTTCAAGGCAAACAGGTCCCTCAGCTCCTGGAAGCTGGAGTAACACAGGAGAGGCAGAGCCAGCACTCCTGCAGTGTCACATATCTGTCCCCTGGCAGGGACACAGGCTGGGGAGCAGCTTCCCACATCCCCAGTGCAGTCTGGGCGCAGCCTCAGCTGGGACTCCAGAGCTGACAGGGGGCAAGAACAGGCAGGAGACGAAACCACACAAGTTAAATCTGTACTTGCAGAATTTATGATCTACTTACTGTTCCCAGAAATGAATGACTAATGACAGTGTATTATTCAGGGTAAGCTCCTCACACATGGCACAATCAGGACATCCTAAGCTATGGCATCCAGTGTCCCCAGCAGCTCCTTCCCCAGCCCTCCTGAACTGCAGCAGTTAAAAGCTCCAAGCCTCTCCTGAACACAGAGGGGTGGCACACAGATACCATGGCTTTGTTTGCCACCAGACAATTTCACGTGCTCCATTACCATTAAGGATAACCAGGAGAAAAATTACCTTGTCCACAGTGTCCTGCACAGATGGAAAACCACTGTTCCAGCACATTCACACCTGACCACAAACACGGGGACTGACTCACCTGCTCGAAGAAGCTGCAGCTTCTGCAGGCACTGAGCAACTGTGGTTTGCAAACCCTCCAAGGTCAACAGGCTTTCATACTCCCCTTGTAGAGAGGGAGGGTCTACAAGAGAAGCAAAGGAAACCCAGCAGGCATGAGCATACTGGAACCTTCCTCCCCAAACACCAGTTTCCAGAGCGGTGTTGGGTTCACCAGCCCTCATTTTAGGCAGGCAATGCTCCTGTCCCTCAAGTCCAGCACATGGCAAGGACACAAAACAGATGGAACTGGAGTCCAGACCATCCTTATTCCACCTTCTGCCCCTCCACCCCCTTTTTTCCTTCTTACCTGCAGTCTCAGCTTCCACATACTGCCTCAGACGGGAGGGGACATCCTGGAGGACCCTCAATTCCTCCTCTATCTCTGCAGGACTGAAGTCTGCCTTCGGTGAACAAAACTCAAACAGCAGCAGCTTAAGGAAAGTTCCACACCACCAGCTGAGTGCAGCATCCCTGGCCAGGCCAGCTGGGAGCAGGGACAGAGGGAACAGCCCAGGAAGTGGCATTGCAGGGGGAAGCTGAGGATGGCACAGCACAGCTGTGTAGGGCATGTTTGCCTTGTGGCCATGTTTGGCTGGATCAAGAGTTTTGTAAGTGCTCGAGAGCTGTACTATGAAAAACCCCACTTCCCAGAGACCCAGCTTGAAGTGCTGGTATTGGAGGCATTACTCTCTCCAGCTGGGAGCTCACTGTGGAGCAACTGTACCCGGAGCCTGCTGGGAAAGGATACAGTTGTCTGGATCCTCTCCATAAAACGGGCCCTTGCAGCTGCTGCATCTGCACTTGTTTGGCACAGATGACATTTCTCCCATGCCCTGAAAATTCCAAAGGGGCAGGAGGTGGAAGTTACACTCCTTTGTACCAGACAGTGTTCACACTGAGCCGTGACACACCAGTGTGACACATCAGTGCTTTAATTACAAGTGTCTCCATCACCCCCCTCTCTCACAGGTTATTTACTAACCATTCCCAACTCATTCCCACAGCTGGTATTAGATCAGCAAGGACACCCTGCAGAAAGCATTAGACACTGCAAAACACCTGTTCCCCTCTCCACTTGTTTTAAAGGGAAGGATTTACAGCCATCAGAAGCACATTTCCAGAAGCAGAATGTGAACTTGCAGTACATCCCTAATTCTGTTGTATTGCCCTGCCTATGTTCATGTCCCATAGGAAACACCAAATCTTCCCTTCCTTTCTTAGGAGTAAGTCACCTGCATTTCTGCACAGTTGTTCTGTTAGTAAAGGTGCACAAAAAGAAGAGCAGACAGGACAAACTCTCACCCCAATTCCTTCATATGCCAAACTTCCTCAAGATTCTCCTTTAATCCTTTTTTGGGGGGACAAAATGCTATGTTTGGCAGGCAGTATGCCAGCAGTGTGTCAGCATCAGGGATGCAAGACACAGGCTAAAGGACAGTAGCATGAGGAAGCTGGCCAGGAGTTCACACCAGAGTCCAGTTTTTTAAATAAAGCACTACACAAATAACAGCATTACCAGAGAGATGCATTTCACTTACAGAGTTCACCATCCCCATGGATACACAGTCCCCATAATATCCTTTACTTAAGAACTGGTTTAAAAAGCCAATCTCCCAAAATCTGCTGCAGTGAGAGCCATCAGGAGGAAGCTTAAAATAGTTCTGCAGTGCCTGACTGTCTAACTCATGTGCATGTGTCTTTTAAATCATGTTAGGAACATGCAGATTTCAGAAATACATTATGCAAAGAAGTGGGAAGATTAATGGAACAGGAGAGAACAGAAGTTCCCAGGCAAGATGCATTCCCTCTACAAGGGTTCTTTAGTGCAAAGGTTATTCTCAATCTGTCACTGAGTTGAAAGCAATAGTGAGAAGTATAAAATTACACCAGAGCGATTAGAATGCTGAAAGGCTCAATTTACAAGTGAAAATTAAGGGAATAAAGTCTTTACAACTTGCTGAAGGGCAACTAACAAACTGGTGGCTGATAAATGACAGTTCCCAAGAGGAGGAGGAATTCTTGAGGGCAGCACAAGGGGCTATAGTTAGAGTTAAGACAGGGTTTAAGCTTAACATCTGAATTAAGCACATAATGAGAAATCTGCTGAATTATGGCAAGATTTCTCAGAGTAAATGTGGGAAACCCTTCCAGAAGACTGGAGAATGCACCAGAGCACTGAGCTCACCAGAAACCCAACCACCTGCACCCTCACTGCAGGAACTCTGGAGTTGGCTCTCTGTAAGAGCTGAACAGCAGGAACAGCCTCAAACACACATAGCTGTGGTGCTTCCAGAGGTGTCCCAACAGGGCAGGGCACGGCTGTTTTGGGAATTGTTCAGTGGACAGGGTACAGAGGCACCCACCCCACAGGGTCTCCTGCCTCCAACAGGTGTCTGCTACCAGCAGAGGCTTCTGCTGCACTGTTAAACCCACAAATAAAGCATTCCAGTTCCTTCATGACTCAGTGAGCAAGAGTAATTAGCACTCTGAAAATAAATTCTAGCAGCTAGAATAACATGAGCACACACATCCTCAGCAAGAGCCTTGCAGGGCACTCCTCCTGCTCCCAGTTCATCCCCACACCCCACGGGGTCACTGCCTGCCCAGGAACCACCACCAGCCACGTCCCCCTACCCGGCCCCTCCTCACGGCCCTTAAGCAGAGGGACTGCACTAGTCAGGCTGGGCTTACCTGGAGTTCCTGGAATAGGCTATCCTGTAGGGAAGGGGGAGCTTCAGCTGGCATCTGCAAAACAGGAGAAGGATCAATCCTGGCTGCCAGGGAGCAGCTGAGCCTTGTCTTCCAACAGGGAAAATGATATTTTGTCAAAATCTGGAATTAATTTAGCTGCAATGGGAGATGTCAGCAACCCTGGAGACTGAATCCACCACTGCCTCCAGCTTGTCCTCAAGGAAGGAGGCTCAGGCTCCTCTCTAATTTCTACAGACATCACTGAGCTGACCTGCGGGAGCTCCTGCATCCTGCCACCAGCTGTCAGAGGCTCATCCAAGGTGGGAAGCTGGGAGCAAAGCCCTGACACGGCTGAGAACAGGCATGGAAACAACTTGTTCAGGGAAGCTGGTCTGCCCAACCCTGCTGCTCTACCTGAGCAGGACAAGGCAGCTTTGCTTAGCACCACATCACACTCAAAGAAATGGGAAAGGGACATTCCAGCTTCCATTGGAATATAGTTCTTAACCCCGAAGTAAAATAATCCTCAAGTTGTAACTACAAAAACAAATGGGTTGGCAGTTATTAGTCACATGCAGACTAGGAACCCAAGGCCACAGTTGAGATTTTAAGTACGCAAACATTTGAATCCAGATCCCTGTTCCCCCAGCAGCTGTCACTCAGTGTCCTGTGTCCCTTCCAATGCCAGTGAACAGGGATAATTTCCTTCCTGCACAAACACAACAGTCTGGGTTGTGGTAGCTGAGAGATATTCCTCAAAATTTTCCTGGGACATCAGAGCTGACCTTCACCGTGTCTTTAAAGCAAACAGTACACAGAAAAGAAATTCTTTAAACAAGACAGACTGGCCTGAATGCAAAGCCAACATTCCAAGTATTATTTTGCCACTTTTCCACAGAGAATCTCAGTAACATCCACGTCATAATCCTTCCCATACCAAACACTTGAAACAACTGCATTCTAGTCCAGCCTGATTTGTGTAGTTACATGGGCAGTGTCTTACAGGTTAACCCAGATGCCATCACTGCAAACAGCATTGGGCACCTGCTTTAGAGAGAGTGCAAATTCATGCATTATGTATTATCACTGTGTAAAAAGAACAAATAAAAAATCAATATGCTATAATAGAAAGTGCACTCAGAGGAAAACTAAGGCTCAAGAAAGCTCTACAGAGACAGCTTTCCATAACAGTCACAGGGGACTATGAAATACCAACAGTCTTAATTGAAAGGCTTTCAAAGTCCCAGCCATCCAAGAAGAAGCCCTTTAAATTAAAACCACTTGCTCAACCACAGTAAAGGCTTTTAAACTGTACAGGATGCTTCCTCTTGAGAGGGATGGGAGGACGGTGAAAGCAGGCTGGGGCCCCAAGGAGCAGCAGCAGCCAGCAGGGTTTGGAGATGTGCCTCTGAGTGTCAAGTGGAACACGAAGAGAGGTGCCCACCTCCCACACTCACCCTTTTTCCCACAGGGTGCTTGTCCCAGGTGAGAGGCTCCTTCCTGATGCACCTGCAGTGTCCTCCTTTTTGCTGGACTCTCCCAGGAAACCACAGCTTTTCTTCCCTGCATCAAATAACTCCTGGCCAGCAGCTATTGAGTTCTTTCCCCCAGCTGAATCCCCCACAGAAAAACTTTGCTGCTCATTTGGGGCAGATTTGGACGAGCCAAGTGTCTTTTGGGGTTCAGCTGGAGCACAGACCTCTGTGGCACTGCCAGTTGCTGTCCTCTGACTCCCTCTTTGTTTTGAAGCCACCCCTTTTGAGGAGCTCTTCCCAGATGTCCTGGGACCTTGAGAAACACATCTGGCTGGGGCTTTCCTTTGTGGTTTCTTCACATCTGGGTCAGTCCTATAAGGGGCTCTTAGCTGGTATGCAGAGGGCTTCTTTGAAGAGCCAGGCTTTTTGCTTCCAGTTCCCACCTTTGTGCTCTCAGGAACATCCTCAACAGGTACAGGCACCTGCTGCTCTTCAGCCTTCCTGGCAGCAGGTCCCTCACCTGCCAATTTCTTTCCTGTAGCTCCCGGGGCCTCTAATGGACTTTTCAAGATGCTTTTCCTGACTTTCAGTGCCTTCTCTAAGGCCCTGTTCAGCAGTTCCAGCTCCTCCAGCTCCTTGGGTGAAGGCCTGTTCTCTGCAAGAGGAGACGACACGTCAGAAAGTCCAGCCCTGGATCTTGCCCATCTGTCTCTTCACCAATCTGCTTTGCCATGTACTACAGAAGGGAACCAGACACGATGAATGGTGCAGGGGGTATTTTTTTTGGCTGTGGGAGCAGCCAGTGATCAGAGGATGCAGGCAGGCTGCAGGAAGCCTTGAACACAGGATGGGTGTGAGCCACAGAAGAGAGTTCTGCAGAATCAACCTCAGCAAGTGACAACCCCACACCTGGGTCAGGCCTAGAGACACTTCACCACCGACCTGGATTACCGAGGCGCGACTCCAAGCTAACTCCAAGGAGGAAAGTGGGAGGGAAAAGGCAGAGGGGGGGTTAAGTGGCAGAAAAGTGGAACGGCTCCTAACACCGAACCTGGCTCAGCCCCGGTGTGACCTGAGGGGCTCTCGGGCCGGGGGAAGCGCTCACCGTGTCCAGCGCCGGAGCCGGGCTGCGGCTGCTCCTCTTCCTCGCCGCCCCTGGGGGAACAAACAGCGCCGGGGCCGGCGATGTGCTCCGGGACCCGGCCCCGCGGCTGCGGGACCAGGCCCGGGGGCCGCAGGGTGTGCCCGGGGCCGCCCCGCACTCACCACGGCCGCAGCAGCGCCCGGCCCCGCTCCGCCCGCCGCTCCAGCTCCCGCCGCCGCTCCGCGCCCGCGCCCAGCGCCGCCCTCAGCGCCGCCGCCGCCCTGCGAGGCCCAGCGCGCTCAGCGGGGCCCGGCCCGGTCCCAGCCCCGGACCCGGCCCAGCCCGGCGCCCCCGCTCCCCCCCGGTCCCCGCTCACCGCCCGCCGCGGCCCGCGGGCAGCATCGTCCCGGCCGGGTCCTGACGGGTCCTGACCGTTCCCGCCGCTCCGCCCGCGCTCCCTCCCTACGGCCCTGCCAGGACCTGCGGGGAGGGCGGGGCGAGTCCCGCGCGCGGCCAAGGGCGGGAGCGGCCCCGGCCCCGGGGAGGGACCGCGGGATCCTGGACAGCCCGGCCGGGGATCGCCGTGCCTGCCCGCGGGATCCTGGACAGCCCGGCCGGGGATCGCCGTGCCTGCCCGCGGGATCCTGGACAGCCCGGCCGGGGATCGCCGTGCCTGCCCGCGGGATCCTGGACAGCCCGGCCGGGGATCGCCGTGCCTGCCCGCGGGATCCTGGACAGCCCGGCCGGGGATCGCCGTGCCTGCCCGCGGGATCCTGGACAGCCCGGCCGGGGATCGCCGTGCCTGCCCGCGGGATCCCGGCCCGGGGGTCGCCGTGCCTGCCCGGGGGTCTCGAAGGGTCCCGGGGGTTTGCATCGGCAGAGAGGCAGATTTGTGGTTTTTTTGATGGAGGAATCTGCCCTGTCCTGCGGCTGTGAGAGCTGCCTGTTGGTACCGCTGGGATCCCGACAGGAATATTGCTGCGAAGTCCTGCAGTTCCCCAGAAGTGCCCATAGCTGGCACTCGGCGATGCCAGTTCTGGGCAGCCGAGCAGCAGGAACCCAGTTCTCCCCTTTGCACAGCACAATGAAAGTTAGCAGAAGTTTATAAAGAAGGAAAGAAGTGGTTCTTTGCTTTCGAGGGCTGAATCTTCAGGCTGAGATGCCTGTGATTCTCTGCAGCCATTCTTCTAAAGACAAAAAGTTCAGAATTACAGGCAACACATGGAGACAGGGCTTTCAAAAAACCTATAAAATATTACAAGGTTGGCCCCATCTTGCCCCATTCTTGCAACTGTGCGTGAGTTCACTGTCAGAACACTGTGAACAGTTCTGCTTCTGAGGCATGGACCAAGATAGAGCCCAGCTGGCTCTTCCAGGGCTGAGCGGGCTCAGCAGGGCTGACAGGGGGTATAAGACACACAGAAAGTAGTTTAATCAGCAAAATCATGAGCTGCAATGCTGTGAGACCTCGGGGAGCAGCAGTGGGACAAAAAGAGCTCGTTTACACACAGCTGCTTCTCTAGAATCATAGAATATTCTATGTTGGAAGGGATGCACAGGGATCATCAAGTCTAACTCCTGACCCTGCCCAGGACACCTAACAATCTCACCCTGTGCCTTAGAGTGTTGTCCAAACATTCCTTGAGCTCTGGCAGCCTTGGGGCTGTGCCCACTGCCCTGGGGAGCCCATTCAGTGCCCAACCACCCTCTGGGGGAAGAACCTTTTCCTAATATCAAACTTAGCCCTCCCCTGACACAGCTCCAGCCGTTCCCTAGGGTCCTGTCCCTGGTCACACAGAGCAGAGATCAGAGCTGCCCCTCCACTGCCCTTCCTGAGGAAGCTGCATGCCCTGATGAAGTCTGACTTCAGTCTCCTCTTCTTCAGCTGAACAAGCCAAGTGACTTCAGCTGCTCCTCATACAGCTTCCTCTCTAGACTCTTCACCATCCTCCTTTTTTCCAATACCTTCAGATCCTTCTCATATTGTGGCTCCCAAAGCTGCAGCCAGGGCAGGTTGATTCCTGCAGCTGGGACTGGCTGAGAGATGAAGTCCCATCACAGCTCCTGGAGCCACCAGCATTGCTCAGGAGGGCACAGCTCCTCAGACACCTGCATGCTGTTGACATTTAAGTAATTAAAAACAACCAAAAAAGGCATCAGGCTGCTGTAATCTGGGAAAGTCACCTGGGGCTGGAACAGCACTACTGACACCACTACCTTCTGCATCAAGTCTCTGTGGTTTAGAAGTGCTGAAAATGACCCCCAAACCCCAATGATCCCTTTGTATTGAAGATGAACCAGGCGTGCAACCCCTCCTGAGCCTCTGGTTTTAGCAGGCAATAAGATTCCTACTAAAGGACAAGAAAGCTTTATACGAGTCCTTTGTTGTTGTTCTGCACTTTGCTGGGAAGAAGGATGGGTGACTGTCTGCTTGTTGGCTTGGAATTAAGATCAGGGTGAGGCAAATGCTGCTGCCATCACAAAATTAGGAGTGGCAGCATGGCAGGAGGTGGGGAGGGTGAGGCTCTACCTGCCCCTTCCAGCTGCAGCAAGAGGTGGTTAAACCACGGGGTGAAACCATGGCAGAGGTGCTGGGGTGAGGTGATAATTAGCAGAAACTTCCTGACAGAGAGAAACCCACTCCACTGCTGACACCCAGGGCTCAGAAGGTGCGACACTGACACTGGGCATCACAGCCCAGCTGCTCCCACACCCCTATCCCACTCCCTCCACACCTCTGTGATGGGTTCCTGCTACCTCACATTCTGAGGAGTCTTGCAACAGGGCAGCTGCTGGGTAAATCAGTTCCTACCTTCTCTTGTGGGTGGTTGGCTTCCCAGTAGATCATGTGGCAAACCAGCTGAGCAAAAAGGCCAAGGTGTGTGTATCTGACTGTCTTCACTGACAGCAGCTTGTGCTAGAAGAGGCAAATGCAGCAAAGAGCCGTATTCTGTTAATGTAGCAATGAGACCCTGCCCCAGTACAGACCTATTCTGGCCCAGTTGGCCTAGGAGACATTTGTGCCAGGGACTGGATTTTAAGCTAACAGAGTCTAAATGTGTTTCTACCTCATGATATTGCTTGCTGAGGAAATGCTAGGTACCTCAACAGGGCACACATGCTGAGTAACCTTTCAACTGGTGCAAATTACTACTTAAAGATTTAATTACAAAAGATATATAGGTTAAAATACCCATGTGATGTACAAGGGGCAGTGGCTGGTAGTCACAGCTCTGCCAGCAGTTTATTTTTGGGACCTGCAGTGAAGAGGCATCTTGCATAGGTGAGATGTAGCAGAAGTTACAGTGTCAGCACTCATTGTTCAGGCTGACATCAGGTGATGTTCTGCAATACATATTTCTTTTTTACTGAGAGTCCAGTACCCATAGGCTGATAAAAATAATCTTTCAGGCCCTGGGATCTCCTGCTGGGTGTCTTTGATAGCTCTGTCCATAGCCCAAGGGTAAAATGCAAGGAGGCATCACACTTCAAAGAACAGCAAGCAGGAAATAAAAAGAAGCAGGAGATAAACTTCATCACTAATAAACCTCCCCACACTTTTTTCTGATGTTATATTACATCAACTTCCTTCTCCCGTGTGCTGCCCATGGAGAACAGTGGTATTTGCTGAGCTGACACAGGAAAATCCTCCCTGTATATACCAGGATGTCATAGTTGAACCTCAGCTGTTCACTCCTCCCCAGAGGGAGGGAAAGAGAATCATTAAGGGCAAAAGTGAGAAAACTTATGAATTGAGATAAAGGCAGTTTAATAGGGAATGCAAGAGCCACACAAGCAAAGTAAAACAAGGAATTCATTCCCCTTTCCCCTGGGCAGGCAGGTGTTCAGCCACCCCCAGAACAGCTGGGCTCCATCACATGAACAGTTACTTGGGAGGGCAAAGGCCATCCCTCTGGATGTCCACCCCTAACTTCTTCTTCCCCCCAGCTTTGTATGCTGAGCATGATGCCAAATGGTCTGGGATGCCCCTGTGGTCAGTTGGGATCAGCTGTCCTGGCTGTGTCCCCTCCCATCTCCTCGTGCACCCCCAGCCCCCTCGCTGGCAGTGCTGGGTGAGGAGCAGCCGAGGCCTTGAGGCTGTGTAAGCCAGGCTCAGCGGTAACCAAAACATCCCTGGGTTATCAGCTCTGTTTGCAGCACAATTCCAAACAGCCCTGTACCAGCTACTCTGAAGAAAATTAACTCTACCTCAGCCCAAACCAGCACAGGGGTAATGTCCTGTACAAACCATTCATTTTTGAGTCAAGGAAGAGGAAAATCTCCCAGTGTTCCCAGTGTAAGCCTGAGGATGTTGCTATGCTGCTGGAAAAATACATAAATATCCAAGATCCATCTTCAGCTCTTCTTGTCATTTCTTTGGAGCAAAGATTCCAGGAAATGAATCTGTAGGAAATACAGGTTATAAATAGATTCCCAGACCCTGTATCTTGCTGCAGCCAAAATCCCTGCAGAATTCCCATGGCTATCAGCAAGATGGGGTAGGAAAGGACAGCCTGAGTAACCTGGTTTAGTAGAAGGTGTCCCTGTACATGGCAGGGGGTTGGAATGAGATGATCTTAATGCTCCCTTCCAACCTAAACCATCCTGTGATTCCATGCTTCTGTGTGACATGTCCTGGAGAGACGATGTTCTGTGGCACTCAGTGGCAGCTCAGCTGGCAGTGAAGGGTGTCGGGGTGCTGTGGGCACACTGATCTTGCTGGGGTTCCCAGGAGTTCAGCAGCAGGTTCCCAAGCTGCAGGCCACAGGCTACTTGAATTCATAAAATCATAGAATCATAAAATCATTGAGGTTGGAAAAGCCCTCTAAGATCATCGGCTCCAACCATTAACCCAACACTGCCAAGGCCACCACTAAACCATGTTCCCACGTGCCACATCCACATGTTTTTGGACCCCTCCAGGGTGGGGACTCCACCACTGCCCTGAGCAGCTCATGCCAGGGCTGGACAACCCTTCCAGTGAAGTAATCTTTCCTAATATCCAACCAAGACCTCCCCTGGCACAACCTGAGGCTGCATCAGCTTTGTAAAACTGGTTCACTGAAAATGCTGAGAGCATAGACACTCTTGCTGGGAAATACTCTGTATCCTCACCCTCTTCCTGGATGTTACATTGGATCAGCCCTCATTGAAATTAAATGCAGAGGACAGTGGAAGTCTCCCTTCTGTGAAACCATGAAATAGGTGGGGCTACAGTGTGTATCCAAGTTGGAAAAGAGAACAAAAAAGTATCAGTGTATACTGTTTTATATTACAATCCTACATGTGTATTAATATTGCTGACTATCAGAATTGGCACACATTAATTACCTACTTTCTGTTTTGAAAGATGGGCAGGCAGTATTTAGAGAACTAGATGAGCAAGGAGGCTCCAGGTAGGGCAGGATGCCTCTTCTTTCAGCAGCAGAACCAATGTGCAGACATAAGAAGTGTAATTTTCTCTCTGTTGAGGCTACAAA